GAAAGAGTGAGGGGCTTGAAACCTGACCCGGACGAGAGAGTACCCTCAACTGGCCCATGCTGGGGCCAGGGCCAGGAGGGTCAAAAGGGCCAGGGGTCCACCGCGAGGGACACCCAAGAGCCAGGGGCCTGGGGTCCCGACTGGCCTGGAGGTGGGCCAGGGCTAGTAGCCGAAGGTCCCGGGGGGACCATGCCCGAGAGGGGAAAATGGCTTTGGGGGGCTAGGTAGCCTGAATGAAGGCGGAGAGGCCGCCTGATTGGAGGGGTCCTGTTGGATGATTCTGGGGCCCAGCGTGGGGGCCGGTGACTATGTGAACACCAAGATGCCATCTGCGAGGCTTGGGCTGCGGTATTGGGGAGGATAGGAGCCGCAGAGAGCGCCCCCTGGCATTGGGGCACTAAAATGGGTAGCCTCCCGCTTAACTGACATCAATCAGTGAATCAATTAACACCAAGGCATGGCAGGAGAGATAGCAGGTGGTTGGCCCAAGAACAATTTGCTGTGGTTGAAAAGAATCCTTTTTTAAGCAAGGACATCCTCTAAAGTCACCTTTTCTTAAGATACACTTTAACAGAGACTTGTACAGCTGTATCTGGTATATTGATTGTCAATGTTTACCATTCAGTTTAGGGCTAAGGAAAACTCATGCAAGAAAACAACTATTTGTGGCAAGATCCCAATTTTTCAGATTTTTTGAGCATCTTTGTCTCAGAAAATATCCCCACATTACATGTCATTGCTACAGACTCAGTTCCATGCTAGGTCCTGAGATGACATACTACACCTGGGCCAGGCCTTCAGCTGGTGTGTATCAGCAGAGCCCAACTGACTTCAGCACAACTCTGACAGTTTGCAGGGAACCTGTGCAGGATTATCTCCTCACTATAGCCTGCAGCCATTACCAGATGAATGGCTTTGACAAAGAGCCTTGTGATTTACAGATGTAAAACAAAATCCACCAGATCTGGGATCCCTGCAATCTTACTTCCTCCCCAAATAAAAGAACAGAAGGGAACTTGAGCAAGTCACTGCTTGCAGGTGTTTGCTTGAATGACCTCAGCATTTGCTCCAAGACAGTTTACCCTGTTCACTGGTGAGTGTATGTTTGCGGGTATATGAGTGTGTAGCAGGGCACTAAGATGTGCCTGCCCCTTAAGGCTGAAGAAGCCTGGCCAGGGAGCTCGGCAGGCTAAGCAGAGCTCTCTGGATGGCCCCCTGTCACAGAGTGTACATGCACATGTAGTGTCATTTTTGTATATATTATGTTTACTGAACCCCCCCTACTAAGCCAATAAATAACATTTGCCTGGTGTATGCAGTCTCAATAACTAAGGACATGGGTGACCAGCTGGCTTGCATTGCTAGTATATTGAACTTTACAGAAAAAATAAACCATTCTGTACTGATGAGAGTGAAGCATTTATCTCTTCTAGTGTCTAAGAACACATTAACCTAAATTAATCTTATCATCACCATTAGAGGAACCTTAATAAGTAAATCAGGGACTCACCGTTGTTAGTGTTACTCACAATACGCAGCTCTGGAATCCTATCAGGATGGAGGATAACTGGATGATGAACACCACCGAGCTTCATATCAAGTCCTGAAAAGATGGAGAATTAAACTGAGAGTAAGAAAACAGAAAACAGCTGTCAGACTCTCAGAAGTGTGAGTCTATCATAGAATTGATGCATTTCAAGAGCTCACCATTGCCATCCTTCCTGTTTTGGGGGCTCCCAACTTCTGGGTCAGACTGAAATCCACCAATTCCAAATCTCAGCCTCAGAACCCTACACAACCCCATTCCACTGCCATTTAATCCCTACCCACCACTACACTTTACTTCTAACTTTCACTCCATGTACGCATCCTATCTTCGCAATTGTTTTATCTCCTAATCTCCCAAGTGTCTCCATGCCAAGTTCTTGTCACCTCTTGTGCCTGGAAGACCCATAACTCACTCTCTACCTATTATATATCTTAAAAAGAAGTAGCAATGTGCCTGTATGTAACCTATATATGTTGATCTATGCCCCTTAATTGCTGCAGCCCCCAGGCTCTGTGTCTCAGCTCCCACTGCTGTCGCACCTAATTCAGGCCCTGATCCAATGCCAGCAGAATTCAATAGTGGGATTCCCACTGACTTTAGTGGGTACTGCACCAAGCCTTTAGGTTGCACTGTCAGCTCCAAAGGATTGGCCATTCTAGCTGTTTGCAAAGTCCCAGGCATCTCATGGCACAATATTATCCATCAACAGCAACACAATCAAGCTTCTACTGTCTGAGTATAAATCTGAGAACTAGAGTCTCTTTACATCTTCTTAAAGTCAGTTTTACTTCCACTGTATACATGGCTATCAAAAGAACAGCTCAGGACCAGCATGATATCCCTTACTGAGAGACGTGCTTTGTTTCTACCCACTCTCCAATTCCAGGTGATGGGGGAAGAGCTCACATCCTACAGACCCACATTATTATAATCTACAAGAGGTGCTCTCCTCCTCTGCACCCTTACCCTAATGCTAATCCATACAGCTCTGCCCAACCTCCTCTTCACTTCATATGATCACTACTCCGATCCTGAGTTCTCCTCTACAACTGCTGCTCTCTTGGTGAACTTTATCCCTTCTCACTATAACATAGTAACATTAAAACATGACTGTAATATAGAGGAACCAATAGGGTATATGACTAATAAAGCCTATGTAACACAAACTCAACTGAGCTAACTATGAATACATTTAGACTGGAAATTAGAAGGGTCCTCACAATTAGAACAGTGAGGTTCTGGAGCAGCCTTCCAATGGGAGGAGTGGGGACACAAGACCTAATAGCTAAAGATGGAGTTTGATAAGCTTATGAACTTACGGCACCTGCAAAGCAGGGGGCTGGACTTGATTACCCAGAAGACCCCTACGTGGCTAAAGTGATGCTTTCTACATGCACCTACTTTTTTGTTATCCTTTCCTGAGTTCCATCTAATTGAAAGCTTGAACCTATAGACTCTTACGCATGTGAATGGTCCTTATCGATATAGGCAGTCTCACTGAAGGCAATGGAAAAGGGATGGTGCTGTGGCTCATGGCATGATCTAGTTAGTGCTCCAGGACCAGCTATGTCCCTGAAGTACTGTGTGAATTTGGGTAAATAAATTGGTCCATGGTGTTTAAACTTACCAAAGTCATGTAAATCTTTCATCTCACCTCCTGTGCAACAGAACCCCTAGCCCTGTCCTGTGAGCTGACATGGAGCCAAGCAACCCGGCCCAGCAATGGCGGTGCACTGCCTCCTGGTCCACACTACCTCCTGGTCCACCACCCCAATCTCTTTGCAGAAGCCTTCATGACTTATCGTGGAAGCCCAGGGGTCCATGGAACACAGGTTCAAAACCACTGGCCTAACATTCAAAAGTGGTCTCCAAGTTGGGGTAATTCCATTTTTGGATGCAGAAGTTGTCAAATTTAAGGCCTAGTTATCAAAGACACTTGGAACTTGCTGCTTCCACTGAATAGTAATCATTCCTATGAGAAGGGACCCTGGACCCCTCGTACCAACGCTGGTGTTCCCCACAACAACAGGTGCTTTGGGATACTTGGTCTTGAGCTCCAGAAGCTCCCGCAGGCTAGCGGGAGAAATCCACGTAGTTCTTTCCCCCTGAAAAAACAGAGTTCTTCCCTGCTGCTCCTGAGCCATTCTCTGTAGTGGAAATAATACAGATTTAGTGCTTCAGATAAATGCTAATATTAAGGCCCCTGTAAAGCAATATAAAATACAGCAAAAGGACTGTGTAACAGTAGGTGTAATACCTTGTACTTAAGCAGCGCTTTTTTACTGTGGATTCAATAGTATCTTACAATGCTGTATTGAATTATAACTCATATTGTAGATAGAGAAATTGAGGCATGAAGAGGCTACAAGAATTGCCTGTGTAAGCACAACAAATGATCAGTAAGAGAGGATTATAACTAAAGTATCCTGTGCTAACCACTAGGAAGGATCCCCCTAGAAGGTTGTTCAGTAACTAACCAATGCAAAGTGATTTTCCCTTCAATACTGAGCCTTTGTCACCTCCTTTGCTTGAGTATTAACATTCTCCTGGAAATTCTGGTGTCTTCAGACAAAATGTACCCTCTCACCATGTCTGCTCAGTCCACGCACAGCCCTGACTGAAATCCTCTATCCCAAATCCTGATACATTTTAGCAGAGATTTAGTTTCTAGTACAGCCAGTAACAAAATCCCAGATAAACTCTCACACAATTCTGGTTGCCAGGAGGTACTACTCTGAAAAGTGACGGTGCGAGTGTTTGTATTCAAAGGTACATCTGGCTATCCTCAATGTGCTATTTACTTCTGAGAAGTGTAAAAGGTGTCAATGAAACTAAGAGGGAGTGAGTAGGATCCTAGCCTTTCTGTACATCCTCCACAGCACTGTTCCAGTCACTTATGCCTAAGCTACTTCCTTGAGTGGTTGTGTAACTCTGGCATCCAGACAGTGTCTGGGAATGTTTGAAACAATTAAACAAACACAGAATCTTTCAGGAGCAACAGCTGTGACTTGCCACACCAAGCTGAAGTTCTGCCCATTCTCTCAGCTAAACCAAACGAATGCTGTCTGCTTTATAGACTGACTGCAGTGTGGACACTTCTCCCCAAGTCTCTACAGCCATGTGTAGATGAAACAAGATGCGTGTGTTCACGACACTTTAAAGCAGGCTAAATGCTTTTGCACCACTTTAATGGTGTTGGTGTTTCAACGCCTTGAAGGTGTATTGCGCAGTAATTCCAGCCGCTGTAGGAAATTTGGTGGTGTAATGTGCATTAAATGACTTAGGGTGCAGCAAAATAAAACTCTTCCTCCAAGTTTTAATTTGCTGCCCCTACAGCTGCAGAGCAAAACACCAGGCTCCGTGCAGCTCCGCGGCTCTGCAGGAAGCCCTGCAGGCAGCCTGGCAGCAGCCTGGGAAAGCAGACTCCGCCCAAGAAAAGCAGCAAGCCTGATATTTTTTTCCCTCCCCCGGAGCCTTCCTGCCTGCCTGAGCTGCGCGGGGGCCCAGTGCTTCCCTCCACAGCTGCAGTGCCCCCTGGGACTGCCTGAGGCAGGTGCTGTGGACAGATGCTGCCTGGGGTGGGCCCACCGCTGCTGCAGACGGAAGCACCTGCTCACCCCGCCCAGCCCAGGGACCACTCCACCTGCCGGCAACTCGCCCTCCCCTCCTCGCTGGAGAGGCAGGTAAGTTAGTGGGTGTGTACAGGACACAGGGGTTTAATTAGCCCTAAACTGAACTGGTGTTCTTTAAAAATCCACTGCTTCAATTTAGGGCCCCCATTTCATCTACACATGCCCTAGAGTATCAACCACTGCTTCTCTCCTTGCTTCTTTCCAGCCCCCTCTGAGCCTCCAAGAACTTTTACTCCTACTTCCAGCATCCTTCAATAAGCCTCCTCATCCTCCTTCCCCTTCACTATGCTTTCCACAAGACAACCAGGTCTCCTATCCTTAAGCTTAGATCGGCAACAGATCAGACCCTGTAAGCTATAATAGATCATGATCAAGACAGGTGGGAAAGGGGCACCTCACTGTGTGGAAAAAACAATGGAGCATAATTCTGTAGTCATTAGAACCCAGAGGAGAAGAGGGAAGGAGCAGGTTATGAGACGTGGCTGGACATTTTCCAATTAAATGCTTTTTCATCAGACGTTGCCAAGTTTTGATATGAGAAAGTCCAGTTTTTGAGCATCAAACAACATTGTGATTTCAGGATTTATTAGCTTTTTAAAATAAACAAGCTGAAACTGTCAAGGGTGAAAGATCATGTTCTGACTCACTTAAACCACAATCTTCTCAGATACCTAGTTAGCAAAAATTTGGGGGATTCTGCCTTTTGGCTTGATTTGAGATGGGAAATTTTTCTGATATCTCAAACATTTTTTTGAGAACAAAAAACTTTTCCCTGCCTACTTCTATGGCTACATACCCCCTCCATACAGCCACTTCTGCTGTGCCCTCACATGCAGCCCCACAGCAGTCCCTCTCCTACCATACTTCACAGCTCAGCTCAGAGGAGAGAGAGTGCTTTGAGAGGCTCTGCACTGGAACTCAGACACTTCTTCTTTTTCTCCCTCTCTATTACTGTATTTTGTTGTTTAGAACAGCTAAAACAATGTTAATTAAACTGAGTGGAAGAAAGAAACTCATGTGTAAAGCATGAGACCTGCACATGCTGAATTTCAACCTGGAATTTATAGTGCAAAAAATGGCCCTCTGGGGATGAAGTTGGCCCAATATATCTTTTCCATACCAAGTTTCTATAAAATATAAACATAAGTGCTTTATCATGTCTTTCATTTAAGGAGAAACAAATCATGGAAGAGAAACACTTCCTACCATAAGTTCAGGTGGAAATATAAACTCTTGACTTGGATCAGCAGGCTGAAATTCTTCCGGATTGCAGAGACCTGAACGCATCTAAGAAAAAAAGTTTTATATAAACATTTACTTATAGAGGAAAAGCAGAATTTCTTTCCAGAGTAAGTAAAAGAAAAGCCATGCTGAGCTCTTATGTGGAATTTATCATCCATGTATTTCAAAGCACTTTGCAATGGAAACTCAAAATCATCTCTCACACTGGGAAACATGCAGCGAGGATTCCCAACAGCACATGGTAAACTAGCGGCAGAACCAGGGCCAGAACTCAGCTCTCCTGACTGATAGAGCAGAGCATGAGCTAGGCAACATTTCTTGCCTGTTTGGGTCTTGTTACCACATGAACAATATTAAAGATAGGATGATGGCATGGAGATCTCTCCCATTCCCTCCAGGCTGCAGCTGAGAAATGTGGGTGGAAGTTTGCTCAGTTTCTGCCTATGTTATACCTATTGTGTGGATAAAATCAGGACTTCGTTCTCTAGGGCACCTATAACCAGGGAAAAAGCATTCTCCTTGCTGAGCCTCTCTTCTCCTTTCACCTTCCTCTGCTGCTCTCCTTTCCAGTTATATGCCACCCCCTTCCCTACCACCCCAGAGCAGCAATACAGGTTTCCCTTGCTTTATGCTGTACACGCATCCTGGAAAATGCTGCATAACTTGACTTTGCGTAAAGGGAACCCACTTTACAATGTAACAAATAGGGATGTGTTCCAAGACCTCAACTGTATTGACCCCCAGACCCATTTCTACCACTTTTACAAGACAATTTTGGTACTCGCCAACAGCACACAGTACACACAAGCACAGGGTGGTGGTGAATGTTACCATAATGGTGATGGCAACCACAGAAACATGTGTCGCAGACAATGAGTGAGGAGCACAGATCCACACAGGAGACTATATTTTGGTGCGCATCACTCCCACAACGCACTGCACAAAGCAGCTGACTGAGGGCTTCCACCACACCAGTTGCATAAGAGTGAATTTACCTTGCACATAACTCATTTTTGGTATAAAGTGTCATTGAATAAGAGCGAATTTGCACCTACGGAACCTGCATAAAGCAAGGGAAACTTGTAGTAGCTGCTATCCACACCTCTGCTCACTAGCCCTCCAGTGGCAAGTCACAGTTATGCAGGTCTGAGAAGGCATTATTAAGCCTTAACCTGTGATTACTCTGAAACTGCTCTAACTTCATGACAACATGATGTTCCTCATGGAATGGCTTCAGAAATACCTTAGAGATGCTGATAAATAAGACAAAACTTGTTACCCATAATTATGATATGAGGCAGAGCAGCACTATGGTCACTACAGTGTCATGTAGACATACCCAAGCTAATTGAAAATTAGCTGGATGGGTACTGTTAGGATCCCAGTTGTGGCAGCATGAAGATCAGTAGATGTTAATTTCCCCTTCTTTCAGGAGGGCATTGCAGCTAATACTACAGAGCATGTTGATGTGCCAACTCTGCTGCTGGTGCCCACGCTAGACAGTGTGAAGTTTGCTCAAGTATCTCTTAGTTAAGCAATAATGACTTCAGAGTAGACAAACCTATAGGTACTGCTGGACAGATGCAGAACCAACATCTAGAACAGATCAAAGAAGTTTATTCACCATCAACTTTACAATACAACTGGAAGTAATTCAAACCTCTGCATCTTACCCGATCTCCCCTATCAGAAGATGAGGACACACCTCCTTCCTGATCCAGGCAGCACTGTCCTGTTCCTCTCAGTTGGCAGCAGGTTGGTTCCTAAAGAAATCATGTCCCATCCTGTCATTGTAGTGAGATAACTTCAAGGGAATGGGATTTCTTTTTAAATACATCTTTGATTCTACCTGCACACAAGATACTGACCACTGTAGGAGGTGGTCCTTTGTCTGAGGCTTAGCCTAGTTCCTCTGGAAGTCAATGCAAAAACTTCAAATCGCTGCAGTGTGGTGAGATCAGATCATTGAAACTGTACAAGGGATTGCTGGGTGAGAACTGTACAAAGGATTTCTGGGTCCATTGGAGGAGTCCTATTTGAATGTGGTTGGATATAGGGAGGTCCTATGAGGAACACTGGACTGACACTGGACATGTACTTTTCATTTGCATCTCTTCTTTTCCTTGAAATGACCACAGGATGGCTCAAGCTAGTGGAAGAGGCCCAGTTTTCCAACTTGGGTTGGGACCTCCCAGCCAGGGAAGAGCCATGCAGGGGTTTTCAGTGCTGCTTTCTGTTTCCAGTTTTCAAGGAAGGTGAAGGATATGGCCGGGGAGATGTTAACGAGGTGGGGTGAAAATGTGATTTAGTGTATGTGGTGGTCTGTGACTGACATGCAAAACTGGCTGTTGAGAGATGAAGGCACAATATCAGATATTATTCAGTTGATTTTCCTTTCACTATTACTCCCCTTGTGACTCATAATCTGAGTATCAGCACTGCTAGGCCTTGTGGTCTCCAGCTTCTCATAGCAGATTCTGGTACATATTTTAATCAGGAAAGAGTAAATGTATATTATTGTAGCCTGTATAGTTACATTTTTAGTGCCTCTGATATACTGCCAACAACATACAGACTCCATATAACTTTGACCATACCTATATTATCTGCGGACAATCACAGGGTTTCATCAGTCAGTCTTACAGGCTTGCTGTGTTTGTGCAAGACTTCTGGGGCTAGGAGAGTCTCTTTTTGTGGGTAAGTGGGCAATTTGGCTTCCAAGCCTGCAAAGTCTTAAACACATACTGAACACTAAAGTGAAGCCACATTCAAAACTTGGCAGAATCAGCATCTTATTTATGAGAAGAATTTGTACAGGGGAGATTAGGAAATGTAGTTAGCATCATGATCTACATTTTCAAAAGTGAACATGAATTTCAGCATGCCTCAGTTTTTTGGTTGCCCAACTTGACATGCCTATGGCTCAATATCCGAATATCCAAAACTGAAGGCAGTGGGAGCTGACAGTAACCAGCAACTCTGAAAATCAGACCTTACACACTGAGGCAAGATTTATACTGAACTTTCCAAAAGATCAATCAAAGTGCTCAGAATTGGGGCTGGATTTTCAAATGAGCTCAGCTCTCAATGTGGCACCAAAACATGGGACAGGTATTCCAACATACCCAGCACCCAGCTGCTCCCATTAGTACACTTGGGGCCAGATTTCTGACACAGCCCACCTCCCAAGGCGTACCCAGACCTTCTGCAAATCAGGCCCTTGTTGGGCTCATACAAGAGATGGACCCTTTTGAGTAATACTGACCAATTTGTCTAATTATTTTCTTCTACCTACCCCAGCAAATGATTTGTAGCTTTCTATTATTGGTCTATATCCAGTGCAACGGCACAAATTACCTAAAATAAGCAACAAAATAATTAATCAGAAGCATCAATGCAATTAGAATTTACTCTGAAGCAGACACCTAGACACAAACACCCCTGCAGTCCTTTTTCTCTAATGGGACAAATCAAAACAACTGAAAAAAAATCACACATTACTGAACACTGAAACTACATCCAAATTCAAAAAGTACAGCTGGCACTCTCTCAATGACTGGTGTTATCTTATTGAGATCCATACACTATCTACAATGAAGTACATCATCCACTATTACTATTTTCATTAGTATATCAGGATATTTTTTCAAAATACCTCCAAACTATTTATCTTGTATGTTGACACCTCTCACTGTAGTAGCCAACCACCATGCCCATAAAGTCAATAGTAAAACCCCTACTGGACTGTTGTTGTTTGTTCCTTTACAGCAGGGATGTCAAAATTATGGTCCACCACCCAGATCCAGCTCTTGGAGCCATACCATGTGGCCAGCAAGACTCATAGAGGATCAGGGAATCCAGGGTTGAGGCAAGTGAGAGAAGAACAGTGGAAAAAAATCCTGGTAATTTCCTATTCACTCTTCGTTTCAGCATTCGCTTTCTGCCACTGTCTGACACAGGATGTTGGGCAAGATGGACCTATGGTCTCACTCAGTAAATGGTAGTTCTTATGCTCTTAAGTGTAGGTAGTGCCAAAATGTGGGACAGGGAACCTGGTTGACAATGTGGGGGTTGAGTGACAGCTGTATTAACCTGTGTGGTCACCCTAACTGATGTTCAGCCCAACCTACTGTCAGATCTGGATCTGGTCCATAAGGAGCCCTGCGGTCTGCATATGGCTCGTAAGGAGCCCTGTAGTCTGGACCTAGCCAGGGCTGGGTTGAGTTAGACACCACTATTTTACAGGAACAAAACTATCAGGGGGTTGGTATTTTTTACTCTCTGGCAGGGTGGGGCATGATCTGGGTTAGAGAAGATAAGGAAAATTTGACTTGTAAGTGTTACTTGTGATGGACAGGCTCTCTCAAGGGAAGAGGCTCATTCAGTTATTTCCTGTGCATGGTAACTGCTTGCAGAAATCCATAATTTAGACAAAACAAGATTTCACAGTGTGGGTGAAACACCCAGCATCAAGGCCTAGATGAAGGGCCCAATTCTCTGCTACATCTGCCTAAATCAGGAGTTAGTTAAATGAAGCAGCAGGTGTTTTGCTGACAGAGAACTAGGCCAAGATGAGTCAGCCTCATGCAAGGTGGATTTTCAAAACGGTCAGCATTAGCTTAATAAAATCAATTGACCAAAGTTAAGTGCATCAGAAAATCTACCAAGGAAACTTACCGACTGCATGTGATTTTTTTATGTTCTCTTCTGGCCCTTGACTGACATCTTGCCTATCACTGTAATAAGGTGTATGAACACCCCCTGCCCCCCAACTTCTTATTTTACCTCCTACCATTGACCGTTTTGTGAAGCAAACCCACCGTCCAGAGCTGCAGTTATCTGCTCCATGGAGGGCTCCGGGTGGTTTCTCAGCAAAGCGTACATGGACATCACCATTCCAGGGGTGCAGAAGCCACATTGAGAGCCATGGCACTTGGCCAGCCTTTCCTGGAATGAAACAGAATGCCTGATAGCAATGCTCAGCAACTTCCTGGCTCCAGCGAGCATGTGATCATACGCAGCATTTGGAATACCACAGCCTGACCATTAGCACCAGGACACGGGGTGCAGGCACCTTAGGAAAGGGCCTGGGTTGTTTCTTACTTTTAGCCAGACACTTCCACAGATGCTGATGGGGTTACGTGGTCTAAGTGTAACAAGCAGAATGAGGCAAAAGGCCTCCTTAGGTTAGGGACTGGCCTCAGTGCAAATGTTTCTGAACAGGGAGGACAGAGCAAACCAGAGTGCTAGAGCTGACTAGGACCCTCAAGGACCTTAGGAAACAGTATAAGGCATGGAAGGGAGAAAAGTGATCTAAAAAGATTATAAAAGCTGTGTGGGCCGGATCTTATGTTTGAGGTACAGTCCTCAGTTGAGGGAGCGCGGAGGCTCCTCTAGAGCAAACCCGAAGGATAATGTGCATGCTACACTCACTGCTTGATCTAATCTCTGTCTTTCTCCCTTGTTCTTACCTGGAACCATCCATCTCTTAGGGGTGGAGCACACTCACTGCAGTACAGCTGACAGATCTGCCTACAGCAGAGAATGGAGCAGGGTGATGCTCCCAATCTAATCTCATAAGAGCTGGCAGGGAGAAAGCCCTGTGCTGTGGACATTACAGTTGCTTTTTCACTCTGCATAGGACTCTAAACAGTAGCCATCTCCTTGCTCCACTTGCCCCCTGCGCATGAATGCAAGGGCCAGGCATAGTCTGGTTCTTGCCATAGATCTGTTGCTCTGGCAGTTCCCAGAAGCATCTACCTTCATGATCAAAAGAAGCCAGAACTCCTTACTGTAATGATATAATGGAGAGAATCACTGAACCTCCACACAAGGTCCTACCATCACTGCAGATATGGCCAGAGTACAGGGAAGGGAGAAGCTTCCAGGTGCCTCTGGGACTTGTAGTCCATAGTTACAGCCAGCAGTAAGTTTGAGCAGGGGAAGGGGTGTTTAACCCCTTTCCCTGGCCCCAGCCCCCAGCCAGGGTTCACCTTGGGGGGTAGCCCCCCGACCATAGACTGGGATGAAGCCCAAGCTGGGCTTGGCCCCCTGCCCTCCCCTCCACCCACCTTGTCAGCCAGCCCTCACTGCTTCAGCTAGGGAGCAGAGTGGGTGGGGACAGTCCTACTCTGGAGCAGACAGCACAGTCCAGTTCAGGGCTAGAAAGCAGCCTGACCAGTGCTATACCGTCTACTGTGCTCTCACCTGAATTGGGTGAATCCTGGTTTTTGTGCTTCCAACACCTTCCACAGTGGTGACTGCAGTGCCATGCAGCGAGCATATGGGGAGCAGGCAGGAGTTGGCAGGATAATGTCTTTGGAACATGAAGGAGAATCTTGGCATTTAAAATGGTGTACATGACATGGGTGGAGGGTCTCCAAGAACAAAGCACAAGCAGATTACACTCGTTGGTGTAGGGCTGTCCAGCTGGCAGTCTATAGGCTGCATGTAGCCCTTAAGGGGTTAAGCTGCAACCCCAGGCTCCCAGTCTGGACATTGTTTCCTCCACTGCTCCAGCTGCTGCTGGTGCAGCCAGATTCTCTGGGTTCCCTCTTCCTCCTCCAGCTTCTGGGGCGGGGCCGGGTGGTGCAGATGAGGGAGCTACAGCTGGAGGACTCAGGGGCCATGGGAAGTCCTTGCAGTGCAGGAACACTGACAGTGCAGCGAGGGGCAGGGAGGGAACGTGGCACAGTGTGTGGGTATGCCGACATGGTGTAGTGGCGGGTGGGAGCACACCATGCCTGAGGTGGCCAGGAATGTGCGTGGCCCACACGGCACCTGGCCAGGAGGGAACTGTGGCCCTTAGCCACTTAGAAACTGGACAGCCCTGGTGTATTGTACAACTTCCTGAACTAGACAGCAGAGTGATGGGGGAAGGAGTTGTACGTAATCTTGCCCCCTGACTGCAATTGTGTACATCTGGTATGTACCAAAAAAGCCACTATCAACATGCCCTAAAACAGGGGTGTCAGACATGTAGCCTGTGGAAGTGTGGAGTATGGCCACAGTGAGCTTGGCCTGCCACAGAGTTTGGGGCCCTGGTCCCAGTCGACATGGCTATTGTAGGCAGGATGGTAAACTCTGCAGCCACTTGTCCAACTGCTGCCAGTCCTGCTGCAGCCAGTGCAATCCTCACTACCTTTGCCCTATGCTCTGGCCAGAACTGACCTGTAAAGGATCCCTATGGTCCTTTGTTCGCCACAGAAGATAAGGTGAGCTTTGCCAGAGGAAGAATAATGTGTGAAAATTGTATAAAGATTTCTCTTGGGTGCAGATCCTAGAATCAAATTAAAATAAGGATGCAGGTGTCTCAACTCTCCAGAAGTTGCTAAAAGAACTGCTGTAATCTCCAAAGAGTAAGATCTCAAGCTAGAAATGTATACTAGGAACGGAAGCTATGTCCCTGCTCTTTGAATGAATACATGTTTAAGGAATGGAGGGTGAGCAGGAGGGGATTTAATGTGCCTGTCACAGGGTAATTCTGGGGCCAAGACTGGCAAGTGAAAAAGGTTTTTTGCACAGATAAAACCCTTCGACATCTGCCAAAATATTTACCCGGGCATAAGAATATAAATCTAAATTAAGAGGAAGAAACCCCAAACCTTCTGCAATTAATAACTTGCTGTGAACAATAAATTACTTTCTAAATCTTACAACATGGATACAGTATCTTCTTGGAAACTGGGTCATACGTGGATATCATCACTGTGCAGGCACCACAGCCCCCTATTCCACAGCCTTTTTTCGTCCCTGTGAGACGAACTGTGAAAGAGGCAGTTAAGGAAGAAAATGCCTGGTCCTCCATTTCACTTTTATTTACATTTTCCCCCCAAGTCCCCTGCCATTTGACTAGTGTTCAGAAGTGGAGGAGAGTTCTCTCTGTTTATTTCAGTGACTGACTCCAAGTGCTGCAGCTTGGGTAAATGCCTGTTAGACAACTACTTGGTATGCTTCAAAACCATGACATAACAGCAGTCAGATCAGCCATACCCACCTACAATGCATCATGTTTGTATCACCAGGGATCACTAGGACATAGTTCACTTGCAGGACCCTTTTTTCCCCAGAAATCCTATTTGTTTTGCCTAACAAATGGGCCACATAAACTCAATAGCTTTTCCTAGGTGGTTTCTGCCGAGGCTCTGAAGGGCAGCTGTGCGATAAAAGAATGTTAGGTTTTAAAGTCCTTTTCCAAATTGAAAAAAATAAAAATAAAAAACTAGACTTACAAGTTCCTTAGGTTGAAAAGTCAAACACTCAAGTTAAGAAATGCCAGAATTAGGGCTACCCATAGAATGTTTACTTGGCCCACTTAGCGCCTGGAAAAGCGATAGCTTTTTACCTCCTAAATAGCAACAACCACATCTCCTGCCATGCCACGTGTGAATGGCAGGAGGTACAATTTTGGGATCAGAGATAAGTTCCCAACCATGCCCTTTCTACTTGCCAGTGCAGGGGGAGCCTGGGACCAGGATCTGGAGGTTGCCCTGCACTGGGAAGTTGAAAGCTGGTTGCTCAAAGGTCCAGGGCAGGGAGCACCAGTCAGCTGGAGGACAGCAGGGAGTACACCAGGGTCTCAAACCAGCCCCATTTAGGGGCTGGACCTGACAATTATCAACCCCAGCTAGGACCAGCCACATATTCAGTTTAAGATGCTGTACAAACCGGCCATACAAATGTTCTACATTAACTGTAGCGTTATGGTGTCTTCAACTGGATATACCTGAAGCACCCTTGCCATTTATGTTGCAATGGACATGTTAGTTATTGCATAAATGTAACATGTGGAGGGGGCCTTAGACCCCAAGCTGCTCATCAGTTGCCACTGGTGTGTGCGCCTGGTAATCCAGGACTACCTGCCAGTTACAAGACAAAAAGAGAGCATAGGAACCACTTTGCAGAGGCAAAGTTAGGAGTTAAAAGTACACCAGGAGTGCCTTTACACGTGCTCCGGAGTGGCTGGGGGGGGTGGGGGGGACACTTTAATTAGAGAAGATCTTGGGATATGCTCTAATTAAAGCACCCACAACATCTTGTGTATTCAGTGTCCTACGCTTCAAAATAGTGGCAGGGGCGCTTTAACTAAAGCTTGGCACATGTGGAGGTGGCCTAGGAGTCTAAGCGCTGACTTTTATTAAATCATGTACAAGGTGTGCACGAGGGGAAACCTGGGCTGTCAACGTGCATGAAATATTTCAATACCAAATTGATAAAAAATAAGGATTTGTGGCTGGGAAAATGTCACTTAAGAGATGAGACTATGTTTCCTTGTGCCCCTCTGCTTCTTTCTCCTCCCAGTACTGAGTCCTATGGATATTTATTTTTCACCATACAAGTTTTGCAAACATCCTTCCATGCTCTTGGAAATGGGAAGGACATGCCTTTGATGGCATTTCAAGCTTTAGTTTTTCTACCATTTACCCTTGAAGGCCAGATCTGAGTGTCAGAACCACCTGCTTAACATTACTGACTGGGAGGCAGATCCTCAGCTGCTATAGTTGTCACTGATGGAGCAATGCCAATTTGCACCATGTGAGAATTTGCTCCTCTGAATAGCTCCACTGACATACAGAAAAGAAGGGCTGTGCAAAGCTTCAGGTGGTGATTTGATTCAGAGGAGATTTGGTTCAGTTCGGTGGCCGAATCTCCAAATCTGAACCAAAATCAGGAGACCAATTTAAAGGTCCGAATTGATTCAAAACTCTCCCAATGTTCAGAAAAGATTCGGAGAGCTTTGATGATTTAGGCAGTCCCCGGTGGCTGCAGCAGGGAGCTGCAGCTGACTCCGAACTTGTAAGTACTAGGGGCAGGGGAGGCCGGGTCTGGGAGAGGGGGGAGGAGACCATGGGGGACCCCTGCCAGCCCTCCTGAACCCCCCTGCTCCCCCAGTCCCCCCTGACCTCTGCCTGCTCCCCCAGTCCCCACCATGGCTACTGCCACCTGCCCCAGCTTGGTCCTTTAAAAAAAAGCCCTGGTGCTCACCAGGTATTGCCAGGGGGGCGGGGGGGAGCTGCTGCCCCACACTGCCCCATGCTGCATGGGGGGTGCTCTGCACAAGCCCCCTGACCTCCTCCACCCTTGCTTCCCCGGCCCCCTCACAGGTGCCCAGCCCGGGTCAGCTCTGGCCCTTTAAGAAAAAATAAACCTGAGAAAATCCCCAGGACTCCTGCAGTGGCCTTGGGGCTTCGGGGGAACGTGCAGAGCCCCTCACTTGGCATGGGGCAATGAGGGGCAGTGGGCATCGCCCCCTACTGACAGGAGCGGTGAGTCTTGGGTTTTTTTGGTTTTTTTTTTTCCCTTAAAGGGTCGGAGCTGGCCCAGGTGGGGCACCTGTGGTGAAGCTGGGGGAACGAGAGGGAGGGTTGCGGAGCTCATGCAGAGCGCCCCCCATGCAGTGTGGGGCAGTGGAGATGGCCCCCCCGGTGAGTACCGGGGCTTTTTTTTTTTTTTTTTTTTTTTTATATATATAGAGTGGCTGGAGCTGGGGCAGCCATTGCTGGGCTGGGAGAGGGGTGGGGGGATGGGCCTGGCCAATTTGGCCAAATTGAATCGGGACAGTGATTCAAATCACCGAATTGAATCACTGTCCCTCGAATGGGCCGGATCTGAATCTGAAGCGAATACTAAGTGCTTTGCACAGGCCTACAGTAAAGATCAGCACATGTGTAACTGCAGGATCAGAGCCTAAATGAAGTGCTTGCCAGTGAAGTAGCTCTATATTACTTTTCTTTAACATTATAACTCAATAATGTGTTGAAAGGATTTAAACAATTTTCCAAACCATAATGATTTGTTCTTACAAGGATTATTTCAATTTAAAAACACATATTTGTTCCCCAAGAACCTCCCCCCCTTTACATTATTAGTTCAAATACTATATAAAATCAACGTCAGTGGGCACATCTACACGAGACACTACATCACTGCAGTGATGAGCACTAACTGTGATGCCAATGCTACTGCATATTACGGTCAAAAATGGCCTGTGCGCCATGGGGACTGTGCAGTACCAGTGCGTACTTTGCAGTCATTTAATACTTGTTAAAGCTGCATAAAGCAAGTACTAAATGACTGCGCACTATCAACTGCTCAGTCACAGGCACGTGTAGATGTGCCCACTAAGAACACATGCAAGATCAGGTAGTTTTTTCACATTGCTGTCTGTCTACCTCAATTCTAAAAGGAAAAAGAGAAAAACCCAATAACTAGTTCCCCTTGAAGGGCCTTGTTACACCTTATGCTATGAGCTGCACAGATGTTGATCAGTGTTAGTGCTAGCTTGGAGCAGTCACACCCTTAGTCTAAAAACCTTCTGACTGTCCCGCAGCTGCACAGCCGTGATTTGCCACTAGGAACAAGACTAGGAGCTGAAGCTGTGAGTTGCCACCAGAGGACTGGGGAGCCAGGACAGGCTTCCATCCTTGCTCTACGTACAGGGCTGAGAGAGAGATCCTGGGATACTAGAGGACTTCAACTTGGGCGGCACATCTGTGGGGAATGGCCACACCTTAACAGAAGAGGTGCTGAGTATCATGGATCCGAGATAATCCTGCCTGGGAGTGGCATAGCTTTGAGCCACATAACAAGTGCTTAAAAGTACTTTAAAGTGTTAATGTATGGCAATCCAGGGGTTAAGAGCTCCAGCAACCATCCAAAATTACAGTGTAACAAGGCCCTTATTCTATTATAGCATTATGCAAATCAAAGGCATGGTTCAGAAAGGATACGCCCCTTTCTCAGATAAGACAACAACTCTTCTTCAGGGTCTGCACAGCTCTCCATCATCTGCAGTAGGAAAATAGAGGTGGGATTCTGGGTTATTGAGACATAATGTAACTTTCCTACTGGAATTAGGTGTCCTTGTGAAGTGATTTTACTGGGGATTAATTCAGTACGTGATGGCATAATCTTTTCATTTAATCATAATGTATAGCTACAGGCTTGTAACCAGCAAGAGTGAACTTGATCAAGTACTAACATATAAAATATGAGCAGCAGTTTTTGGGAGCATTGGCCACCGGATACTGAGAACAGAGTGAGCAGACACAGGGGCTTGGTGAAGGCTATCCGAAGACAAAAAACCTTGGGCCTGATCCTTCATTTACTCACCCCAGTGTAAATCAGAGGCAGCTGCATTTCAGTCCAGGGAGCTCACTGGGGCAAGAGCAGAACCAACTCCTAATTTTTAAAGCCAGAGACTCATGCAGCTTGAAAGAGTGAGTGAGAGGAGGACACAGTTTGGGGTTCTTTACCCTCCTTACCACAAAGAGGTAGTTTAATGAACCCAACCTTTAATCTCTTGCTCCTCAGAGACACAGAAGTAGGAAGATGAAGGAAAATCTCAATACAAAAGAGAAGAGAAAGGACATTTGGGTTTTAATCAGCATGTTTTAAATGTAATGAAGTTTGCTGCTTATGTTGAGGGATGCATCGACTTGGCTTCATGCCTGTCTGATGGATGGAGCTGTAGCTACAGCAGGGGCGGCCAATTATTTTGGGCAGAGGGTCGCTTACTGAGTTTTGGCAAGCCATTGATGGCTGCGTGACAGGCTGCCAGGGGCAGATAAATATTAATTTTCTAAATTTTTTAGGGGCCTCGTGGGCTGGATAGAATGGCCTGGTGGACTGCTTCTGGCCCCCGGGCTGCATTTTGCCCACCCCTGAGCTACAGCATATCACCACCCTGTGGAAATAAGGTCAGTAAGAGCTAGGTATGGGCTAGTGGCCAGATGGAAGGCATTATAGGACCAGAGTACAGAACAAATGAGGTTTGTTGTGGTCCTTTCAGAAGTTGACAAAAAGCACCAAACTAAAATCTCAGCTTTACCAATATACAGATGGCTGTACATTTCACATGGGAAAAGTTTCTTGAGCTTTTATATTTTAATTACCATTATCAGCTGAAATATTTTCTTCTTTTTATGAAAAGATGGTAACAAGACATGGGGCACATTTCACTGCTTGTTTAGTTAGCATAAATCAGGAGAACTGCTGGGTTTAGAGAGCAGAATATGGCTCATATATCTTTTCTGAAGTGAACTAATAGCAGAAAAAAGGTATCAGGTTCTTTTTAAAAGATTTTACCTGAAAAACATGTCCAAGAAAAAACATGTCTCTCAAGACAAATTATTGTAAAAGACGACACAACTAACATTTCTGACAAAGAAGTATTTCTTCAGTTCTGCCTGCATTTTAGAGCAAGGCATTTTAAATACCAGTGTTTATTTATTTAACATGGGGAGTAAGAAAAGATGAGAAAATGAATCTCAGGATGTGAAGTGTTAGGGCATTTGTAGATGACACTTTAAAGCAGGTTTAAAGTGGGTTAAATGCCTTTTGCACTGTTTTAAAGGCATTGCTGTTTGTACATTTGTCAGCGTATTGCACATTAATTCCTGCCACTGTAGCACATTTGGTGGCATAATGCACCTTAAATGACTTTGGGATGCAGCAAATGATTTTGGGATGCTGCCAAGTAAAACACCTCTGAGGAGTTTCCTACCCTAGAGCCGCAGAGGGAAGCACTGGGCTCTGTGCAGCGCAGGGGCTGTGCAGGCAGCCTGGCAGCAGCCAGGGAAAGCAGGCTCCACAGAAGGTAAAAAAATAAAGTGTCAAACCTGATCTCTGCCCCCGAGCATGCCTGCCTGAGCTGTGCAGGAGCCTGGTTCCTCCCTCCGCGGCTGCGGTGCCTCCCGGGACTGCCCAAGCCGGGTGCCTGTGGGCTGCTGCTGCGCCCCCCACAGCTCAGGGATCACTCTGCTCACCAGCAGTTCTCTCTCCCCTCCCCGCCCCTGGAGAGGCAGGTAAAGATCGGGCTCCCACACAGGTGTACATGACACAGGGATTTACTTTGCCCTAAATTGAAGCAATGTTTTTAAATAACCACCGCTTCAATTTAGGGAGAATTAAACCCTCATGTCAGGTACAAAGACCCTTAGGTTTTACTTGGCAAACAGAGAAAAGTGACAGTTTTTTTTTTTTTAAATCATGTTTTCAAAGTTATAATAGGCAACAGGGAACCCTTTTGCCAATTACCTATTTTTTTTCCAAATGCAGAAAGTTACAGATCATGTTAATATACAGTTTTAGCAAATAACTACATTATTTAAAGCAGCTCCATGCAATGAAGGATCACATGATCACTGAAAATCTATTATTATTTTCCAAACATCCAGGTAGACAGAAAACGTGAACTCCTTTCTAGTCTAAAAACTGTAGAGCTGATTTTCAAAATGTCATTTGTTTTAATAGAAATTAAGCATTTCAGTTCCTTAGGCAGTTTTGAAACTCTTGGGACCAGATACATTAAACAAAACAACTGAGCGAAACAACAAGCCAATCTAATATCTCAGTTCCTGACTATTGCCATTTACTAGGAGTAAAGACAAGGACAGGTTCAATTCCCAACTGTTAGGGACTGATGTGGTAACAAGAACTTCCCAAAGCAAGGGATGTGCAAATTTAACATGCTTACTTAACCTATAACTGAGCTTCTGCTTGACAGTATTCTACTTTCCATTTATATAATAACTTCTCCAAAAGCATTACACCACAATACTCACCTTCCTGCCATTCACAAAAAATATGAGCTCATCTGACTGTGGAGGGCAAGCCATGGTTCTGCACCCAAGTGTGACTAGAAAGAGGAAGATGTTAAACCTGAGCAAGAAATCAAGGAAATTGTATTTTCTTTCACCCAACTCAACTTTGTTCTCTGGCCCACAGAACAAAATATATAAGCATAAAAATGAGATGGGTGGGGAGGAGGCAGGGTACTGTTTCCCAGATCCCAAGACTTAAAATCCACCAATTGGGTCCTTTTCTCCACCTCCTGTCATGAACTGAGAAAAGTTGGAAGGAATTCAGAGCACCGTGTTATGAAAAGTGATGCAATACATTGACATTTCCTGAGTGAGTCATATCATAAGCTGAAGCCTTCCTAGACCTCACCCTTCTTTGACTGCCCCAGGAAAATGAGCATTTAGATAGCTCACCGATGGAAAGGTTCTGAGGCAAACACTCTTCTTAGGTGAATGCTCTGGATTTACACTGACCGACAACCAGTTTCAATTTATGAAGTGAAGTTCATAGACTCATCCAGGAAAGGAAGATTCCCTTTGAGGATAAGGACTGAGAGATTGGAGAGAGTGGTTGTCTTGTGGGAAGTGTGTGCCCACAGGTAATTGGAAATTTTTGTCTTTTGCTTCTCACAAGACAACCAGTCTCTCTCTCCAGTCTCTCAGTTCTAATCCTCAAAGGGAATTTACAAAACACCTTTTGTAGATAAGCCTACGAACTTTACTTCATAAATTGAATGAATACAAAAAATCATGGGCTAAATATAGACATTGGATTTATGGCACATTATAACCTGCCTGCCATCTGATAACCCTAGGTACCCTCTCTTTATTTTACCAGCTACATTCTATCACCAGGTCAATATTCCTCCCCCCTGCCCCCTACCTGTCTCACACCTATCGTCTCCCATGGCCTCTGGGCCTCACTGCCAAGCATTTGCATTTTCATAGACCTGCATTTTGCCTATTGGATTCTATTCTTTCTGGAGAGCACACAAAACAGGAGCAGACTTTCCTGAAGAAGAGTGTTTGTGCCCAAAAGCTTGCAAAGAACAATTTTTTCAACTATCTAGTTGGTCTAATAAAAGATATCACATTTACCCAAAGAACCTTGTCTGCCTTATTGCATTGTAGCTCTAGCACCAAACTTATTATTTAGGGCTAAGCCAGCAAAGGACTTTGGCACCTAAAGGAGGATTAAGGCAGACTTGAATTGTCTACATCTATAATTGTTATCCAGAAAGCTTCCAGAGAACTAATACACCAGAAGCTCCTCTACTTGACTTTTTAGTTCTCCAGGTTCCCAGAATTCTGCTTCTGTGCGTGCCCACAACAGTCCCAGCCTGAGCAGTTCAGTGCTTTGCTCTCACGCAAGTTTGATCAGGAGCCAGAACTCAGGTGTTCCTCTGACTAAGCCCCCCTGAGAGTCCTAATCCTGGCAACACGCCTTAAGAAGAAACCCTAATACACACAGACAGGATTGGGTAAAGCGGCAGCCACTTTACTTATGGTTATTATCAGTATGGGAGGCGCTTTGTTTCACCCCATGCTTTTATACAAATAATTCACTTGTAAGACAGCACACACAAGAAGTGATAGATGTTAGTTCATTTTGCATGCCATCCTGAGAGGGAGTGTCAAACCTACTTTTTCCCTCTGCCAGGAGAGTGCCTTAACTACAAAGCTACAAGCTTTTCTGTTTTGCTTGGGAAAATTTCCAGCCCATGCAACTCTTGTATGGAAACTGTAACAGGGGGCCTTCTCGGGGCCGATTCAACCGTGGCCCGCCCACCTGTTCCTGGGCTAACTGCCCACCTTATCTTCTGCCACACCTTGTTGGTAATTAATTAATAGATGTTCCTAAGCGGGAGGCTGCCCATTTCCTGCCCCGATGCCAGGGGGCGCTATCTGCGGCTCCATGCCTCCCCTACACTGCAGCCCAAGCCTCGCAGATGGCATCTCAATGTTATCATCATCACCAGCCCCCGCACTGGGCCCCAGAATCCTCCTAATTGAACCCCACCTGGATTCCTCCCCTCAGGCAGTCTCATCCACCTTCACACCGGGCAGCATAGCTCCCTGAACTGATCCCCCTTTGGGTGTGGTCCCCCTGCCGGGACCTCTGGCTTATTAGCCCTGGCCCACCTCCAGGCCAGTCAGGACCCTTGGTGTGCAGCTCTTGGGCATCCCTCAGTGGCCCCCCTGCCCCTTCAACCCTTCCGGTCCTGGCCCCAGCACGGACCAGTCAGGGGAAATCTAGACAGACCCAAGTCTATGGCCTTTTCTCTCTCTCCATGGGGTCCACCTTCTAGACTCTCCAACAAAGGGGTAACCCACCCAGTTGTGGGGACTAAGAGTTAAAGTGCCCCAAGCCGCCTTTCACTGGGGTGGTCACTGGCCTGGTATTTCCTGGGGGCTCCCACACCACTAGGAGCCCCACCAGGCCACCCACTCCCAGCAGGCTGCAGTTTTAGGCCATGCCCAGGACCAGCAGCCTGCTTACCGTCCCCTACACCTCCTCCCTTACCGCCAGATGATAGCAGCAGCCCTCCGACCAGGCAGTGTTGTTGCCTGGGCTCCAGCAGCAGAACTGCCCTGTTTATATGGGCAGCCCTCGGTTCAAAATGGCTGCCCTCATCAGGCACCTGCCGGGTGCTGCCCGGGTGCTGCCAGCTCCAGGCCCTTGCAGTGGCAGGCACGCACAGTGCCCTGCCACAGAAACTACTGGTAATTTGGGATGTATTAGTCAGAAGGATAGAGAAAGTAGGAGTATGACTGTGAATAGTAGCAGTTAGGGCACTCAGTAGGGAAGGGGATAGTCCTGGGTTTGGGTCCCTGCTCCCAGGACTGTTTGTACATTTTATTCAATGCTGTTGAAGGTGAAATATGTACCTGAGAGCAGGGACCAGACCCAAGTTTTCCCCACGGGCTGTCTGTCTTAACCACTAGGCTGCAAAGCCACATTAACATTTTCTTCCTTTCTCTGGCCTAATAGGGGTTTCTGGATTCTACTACTAGGGTCGGCACCTGAAAGTTAGATGTTGTGGTGCCTCTCTTGTAAGTGCCTAGGTCCTTTACTGGATCCAGCCCTCAGTTGAAAAACATTGTTGTAATGGGATTTACATGCTTGTCAAAAGGTTCAAATACTCCTCTTTTGCATGTCATCATGACACTTTTCTGTTTGTCTCTGCCAGTGCAGTCTTTCAAGACTAACCAGTTCCCCAGCTCTCATCACTTTCCTGAGAATGCTCCCAGGAAGCCACTATTTACAGCTGCATTTTGAAAGCTGAAGTATTAGTAGTGTGGCATTGTTCCTGAAATTTGGGGCAAGTACCAAAGATGTTGTTACTGTTTGGCTCCAGGGACTAGTACACAGGCACGTGACTGTAACTTCTATTTCAGCATGTGTATGCACCATGCATGTTGTGTGACCTATAGTGTGCATTCGGAGACATTTCCAGGGACATCAGTGCTAGTGGAGATACAGATGTCAGGGCAAACAAGACAGGTATTCCAATTCCCTCCCTCAAGGGTTGTGCCAGGACAGCACAAGACCTGAACTAGTCAGGATCTCCACAGCAGCCCTGTTGGTTGATGTTGATGTTGGTTGATGCATCTGAGCAGTTTCAACACAGAGCTTCTACCAAATGCACCTGCCAGAGCACCACCCCACTTTCTTCTTCACTTATTTTCTGGGATTTGCCAGCTACCTTCAGGTACCTGCTGGAATGAGGGCGGCGGGGGTGGGTGGGCGGGAAGGGGTGCTTCTTATTGCAAAGTCTGTGGAATGAACCAAGACCAGAGTCCTTCAAGGCAGACAGAAGATGAATATGGGCAAATTCATTCATGGGTAATGTGATTTACTGAATTCCTTAAGATATACGGAAGCAAAGAAATAACACCACAGCGCAACAAAGGAAATTATGTGTCCATCCAGAATACAGAAACCATGCATTTAGAAACAGATGCATACCCAGTAGTGTGAATGATCTGATTATTGGGAACTGTGTCCCTTATCAGCATCGGTCTATTGGTATGCATGCTTGAAGGAGTGAGAAACTCTTTTGTGTTTGTTCTGACTGAACATATGTTTTCACTGTTTTTTAACAGTTTGAATATAGGGGCCAAGTGAACAGGGTTTGTGCGCACTGGCCTTGCCTTCTAAAATGGAATGTTTCCAAGGCCACTGATGCTGAAAAAGAAAATTGGGTAAAAGCTGTCGAGGGGTCAGCATTCATCATGGTCTCGGGTGAAGGGACCCTCAGCTCAGGAGTGCAAAGAGAGGTTGAGGGAAAGCTTCAAGTTCTAGGGGGATAGTGTTGTACTTTACCATCTAGCCTTGCAGAGAGAAGTACCGGTGAGGTACAAATTCTTCTAGTGAGTTCACATTGGGACCTGTTGTTCACTTGTTTCTAAAGAGCTGAAATCCTTGGGGTCCTAGTGAGTGAGGTGGAAGCCTGTGGCTGCTTGATTTTAAAGAGTGGTAGTGAGGAAGGGGAAGACTTGGGTTAGTAGCTACACTAGCTACTAAGATCATCTTGTGTGGGACTAGGAGAGAACTCTGCACATACTGACTGTGATAAAATGATAATCGGTTGAAGTGGGCTACTGATTATTAAGGGTTTCCCAAGTCTGTTTATTATCCCATTTTCCTTCCCCTTTTACTAAACCTTGTTATATTGCTTGCAAGTGGGGAAATTTTTTGCATTGCAACACTTAGGCAGAATTTACTTTCCTACGTTTCTGGGTGGGGGTTCAAGTCTGGATTACATTTGTGTAAATCTCTTAAATTGAACTTGACCCTTGTTACTGTTGTCCATTTAGGCAGAATGTTACACATATAATTTAGAAATCATATTTTAATTGCAGGTGCATAAATGACTGGTCTACAGCCTGACTTCGGTCACAGATACAGTATCTGACCACTGGTTTATGGGCAACTAGAGATGAAACAATGATGCAGCAAACCATCTTGAGCCATTTACTTTAACAACAAATGCAGGGTGCATGGTTCAGGACAATCTGACTCCTAGAAAGGTGAGGGCAGAGTAACATGCAGCAAACTCACAGACTGGTTGTACATACAGCCTCAGGTCATTACTACCA